GTCCTGTTATTAGGAGTAAACTACTGTCTGTCTTGAATTGGCTGCTTTTATTCCTGTACTGACTTGATATTTTCACCACTTACCTAAGCAGCCACACACACACCCAGTGTATGCAGGCCTTCCCTCTCTGTCCCCTGGGCTCTGTAGCTGAACCACACCTTGCTTTTTGGGCCCCTCTTTCTGCCTTTTATGGTGACACAAATGCTTCTTGCTCTCACATTCTTGCTGCTGTCGATAGCATGTGGCTGTTTAATGAATGTGCCAGTTTGGATCTCCGTCTCCTAGGAATAGACACTATTTGCCATTTTTTACTATTTTAGACATGGCCCCAATAAACACTCTATGCCCAGTAAGTCTCCAAGAGAGAAGCAGTGCTGGGGTGAAGGCATCCCCTCTTAGGATGGATCTGTGCCCAGCTCCCTGCTGCACCAGGATCCAAACACTGATCACTAGAGGCTGATTCCAAGGCCCTGCACAACTGGCCCCTAGGCCTCTCCCCTGATGTTTCATTCATACTACACATCTACCAGGTTACCTCCACCCCAAGGCTGGCTTGCTTTCTTTTCTTTTTTTTCTTTTTTCTTTTCCTTTCCTTTCCTTTCTTTTCTTTTCTTTTTTCTTTTCTTTCTTTGTTTTTCCCCCCAGTACTGGGAATTGAACCTAGGACCTTCACACTGACGTACATCCCATACCCAGCCTTTTTTTATTATTTTGTAATGTTTTGGTTTGGGGGTTTTTTGTTTGTTTGTTTATTTTTTCGGTACCAAGAATCGAACTCAGGACCTAGCACTTGTGAGGCAGGCGCAATGCCACTGAGCTAAATCCCTGGTCCATTTTTTTTTTTTTTTAAATTATTTTGGTAGAGCGTCATACTGGACATGGTGACATAAGCCTGTAATCCCAGCCCTCAGGAGACTGAGGCAGGAGAGTTCAAGGCCTGCCTGGGTTACATAGTGAGTTCAGGACCACCCTAAACAACATAGTGAGACCCTGTCTCAAAAAACAAAAAAGTCTCAGTGAAGTTGCCCAGATGGGGCTTAAATTTGCAGTCCTCATGCTTCGCTTCCCAGAGTGCTGGGATTAAATATGTCCACCACCACACCTAGCTTCTGTCTTTTTTCAAAAATTGTGTTAAACATTGGGTGGAGTGGCACACACTTGTAATCCCAGTATGCAGGAGGCTAAAGCAGGAGGGTTGCCACAAATTGGAGGCCTGCCTGGGCTATATAGTGAGTTCAAGGCAGCCTGAACTACATACATAGCTAGACCCAGTCTCAAAACAACAACAATAAAGTATTGTGTTATATGAATTTTGATAGTCGTGACAGAATAATTCCATCATCCCCCCAAGTATTCCCTCATGCTGCATTGTAGATAATCCCTGCTGCTCCTCTTTGGCCATAGTCTTAGCCTTTCTAGAATGTTGTATAAAATGTACCTGCAAGTTATAGCCTGTGGAGTCTATGGCCATTGCCTCAGTCACATATTGGACAATACATTTCAATACAATTTAATAACTGCTCTTTTTATTTTTTAAAAAAATAAAATTCATACTGTGTTTACTTAGCAGCAGCCACATGGCAGATTGGTTCCTCATGATGAACCTATCTGCAGCTGTCACTTGAGACCGGGTGAGTCAGGAAGTCTGCTGATTGCAGGCGATACTGCAGGCCAGTGGAAGTGTCCCCTCCTCCAGACACCGCTCTAGTTTGTTTGTAATTAATATTTTCAGTTACATGGATTGCTTTGATCAGAGGGCTCCATTTGCTTTTTACAGGAAAGGAAAATCTTCCTCTCTGGTGATTACATTTCTTTTCCTGGTCACTAATTGCAATCTTATCTTCTATATCCAAACTTCTGTCCTCACATTGGTTCATTCTGCTGCATAGACTTTCAATGGAGTTTTTAATCGCCTGGAAATCTGTTTGTATCTGTTTTATGGATTCCATTTGTTTCCTATGTTGGGATTCCATCATGTTCCTAGCTCCTCTATTTTTTTTATCTGTGTCCTCTCTAGATTTATTAATCATGTCTTGCACTATGGGCACAATCTCTGCTGTTATCTGAGAAATTTTTTCTGATTTCATTTTTTTGAGATCCTCTTTTGTTGCCAGTTCAGGGAGTACAGGTGGTTGAGTATCAGATTGTTCCATCTTGTTTCCTTTTGGGGTTGCTGTAGGTGATCTGGAAGTCTGTTTTTGAGGCTTATTTACTTGTCTTCTCATTTCGACGGCGGCAGAAGGAGGGGTGTTGCTGGCACCTGTGTGACTCACCTCCTCTGCCCTGGGAGCGGTGGAATGGCGGCCAGGGAGCCTCCTTCTGGGTGCTGGGATTGGCTCACCTCCACTGTGGAATGGCTCCCGGGGACCCTCCTTCTGGGTGCTCTGCTGATTACATTTCTTGTCTGTCAAGAGTCATACAGGCCACCACTGGCCTCCCTGCCCTGAGCCCTGGACAGGATGCCCAGTGTACCTATGGACAAATGTGGTTTGGTCATGCTAATCCTGCTGCCAGGGTCGCAGTGGTTCCTGAAAAGCATTTTTTACTTTTGCACTACTGGGGTTAAACCCTAAGCCTTTACACTGAACATCATCTCAGCCCTTTTTTATTTTTTATTTTGAGATAGGGTCTTACTAAGTCACTAACTTACCCAGGCTGGGCTCAAACTTGTAGTCTTCCTGCATCAGCCTCCCAGAGTGCTGGGATTACAGGTGGATGTACCTTCATTGGGTCCATTTGCTGACTCATCTGTCCGAGCCTAGCCCAAAAGCACAAGTGATTCTGCATGCTGACCTGAGATCAGGACAGTATCTCTGCATGCCTGCATCTGTCCATGAATGAACTGCCTCCCAGGAGGCACCCAGACAGGGCTTTGGTCATCTAGATTTTTTCTTTGTCTGCAGTCACAATCAGGAGCTCCTCCAGTGAGCTTTCCCTGGCTTTTCATGGCCAAAATGTATGTGAGAAGTGGCTGTGTAATGCCTGGGAGAAGGGACTTTGTGACCACTCTGCTTTTTGGTAAGATCTGCCCACACAGACACCCAGAACAAAATAGAGAGGCAAGAAAGCAGCCAGCACCATGCTGTTTATTAGCCAGGCAGACATGATTTCGACCTTGCTGTGGGTTAAAGGACATAAACCTGAGAAGAAATCTGTTTATCATGTGGGGAATTCATGCCATCCTTGACAGTAGATGGTGAGCAAGATGGATGATCTGCCAAATTGGTCCCTCGCATGGGTGAATCAGGGCAAATTTACAGTATAATTCCTTTACTGCTTCAGATACAAAAACAACATTTGCTAGGTTTTATATCCAGTTGTCTGTTGACCTGGGGGTGAGCAGAGAGAAGAAATCCGATTTGTAGGACTCATATTGCCTTAAAGATTGATACAGACCATTCCTGTCTTTCACATCTGTCTCTTTTACATTTCTCACACACCAGTCTGGCGTTTTTTTTAACCTGATTTTCCAGGCTGAGGACACAGCTTTATGCAATGGTGGGACTTTGTACCAGTGCAAGGCAATAAACAGGTTTATCGAGTTGAATTGCAGTTGTTTTATTTGGGGTTTTCCTCGTTCTCAGTGTTCATACAAAATATTCCTTGTATTTGGAATATATTTCGTAGAGTTTACAGTTCAGAATGGGTTGTTAGCCTGAATCTGAAATACCCAGCAAAGCACACTTGGGTACATATTAAATGGAAATTAAATTCTTCTCTACTGTTACATTTTTCCCTTTGGCTGGGTAATAGTATTTTGGAGGACCTGCTAGTAGACTGATGTTACCTAGGAACCTGCTACGGTCTGAGGGAGCAGCAAGCAAGAGACAACCCCAAAGATCCTGCCCTCTGTGACTTGTCATCCCTCTGCAGCTAGAACCTAGCGCTCTAGAGCCCATGTGACCACACCTGACCCTCATGCATGGCCTGCGGGGTCTCACTACGTGGCAGCCTCAGTGGGAGTAGGAAGAGATTGTGCCTAGCACTGAGCTGAATCACAGGCACATTGGCCTCGTGGGTGAGAACTCAGTACCTAGTCGCTACACATTGTCCTCCTGGACAGTCTTTCTCCAGCATTGGCAATGAAGAAATGTCTGGAAACACCTCAAAACTAGACTTAAGCCTGTCTTATGGTTCTATAGTGATGCTAAAGATAGGACAGGGGTAATGCTCACCAACAGAGCACAGGGTGATATTTCCCACTGTGCACCTGCAGTCACTCCAGCAAGCAAAGCTCTTCTGAAACAAGGAGCCCATGGACACCTGGGGCCCCACACCAGTCCCATCTCTTCCAGTGTCATTCACAGCATAGTATAGATGAAAAAAGAGCTTGACTTTCCAAAATAGGCAGTGCCAGCAAACCCTGGGGCTTAGTGCAGAGAGGACACCCTTCTGTTTGGTTCCTTCCATCCTCAGCTGGGGTTGGGTCCTGGGGACCCCTCTGGCAATCACAGTGGAACCCAATCCTGGGTCCTAAGACCTGAGTCTCACTGTGCCACCCTGAGGGCAGCAGCCAAGGCCTCAGGTTCAAGGGTCTTCATGACTGTGGTGACCACACTTCATAGGCAGCCCTTACTGAAAATAATCTGTGCTTTCTTTTTGTTCTGGGAAATATGGACAAAATAATTATGCAAGTTATAATGTAGCCACAGTCCCTATGAATTATTAGAATTACAAGGTTTCCTTAGAAGAAATCATGACATTGATAATACATGATTAATATGACAGATATTTTTTACCAGAATGCCTGATATTAAGCCTTCAAAAATCTTTTATTTAAGTCTCTAGTTGGTTTTTTCTTCCTGTTGGTGTTATTTTTGGTCATTTAACACAGAAAATTAGAGGTTACTCTCAGTCAAAAAAAACTATAAAATAATGCATGAAGATCCATAGAAGACCACATGGTCTTGTTTGGTATAGGCTGTTTAATTAGTATTTCCTAGAGAAGGAAAGTTGATGAACGTGGTAAAAGATAACTGTTTTCGTGTGTTTAACTACAGAAAGCACTCCAAAGACCTCTGCCAGCTGCAGCCCTGCCCCCGAGTCCCCAATGAGTTCCAGCGAATCTGTGAAGAGTTTGACTGAGCTGGTCCAGCAGCCCTGTCCCCCCATCGAGACCAGTAAGGATGGCAAGCCACCAGAACCCAGCGACCCGCCAACTTTGGACTCCCAACCCACAACCCCACTGCCTCTCTCTGGACACTCAGCCCTCAGCATCCAAGAACTTGTAGCCATGTCTCCAGAGCTGGACACCTATGGCATAACAAAGAGGGTCAAGGAGGTGCTGACAGACAACAACCTTGGTAGGTCCATCTCAGCCGCCAGCTCAGAGGCCAGCAAGTCATTTCTTATTTAAGGTCTTGGGGTGAAGGGAGCTTCAGGCAGAGCCAGCCCAAAGGTTTAAAGTTCTAGCCAGGGGGCCGGGGATTTAGCTCAGTGGTTTCGCCACCTGCTGTGCAAGCACAAGGACCAGAGTTCGATCCCCAGTACCAAAAAAAATAAAGTTCTAGCCAAACTAGGCATGGTGATACATGCCTCTAATCCCTCTGGGAGGCTAAAGCAAGAGGATCATAAGTTTAAACCAGCCTGGGCAACTTAGCAAGACCTTGTCTCAAAATCAAAAATTAAAAAGCTGGGCCATAGCTTGGTGTGAACACCCTTAGTTCAATGCCAAATGCCATCCCCAAAAAATTTTTTAAAATAAAATAGTTCCAAGCATACCCAGGCTGTGACCCACAAGTTGGACACACCGGGCTTGCCTAGGCCACATTGTGTGAAGAGGAGCTGTGTTAGGCCACATATAAAATATATAATATATTTAATATGTAAAATAACAAAACTTCTTTTAGTTTCTGTATTTTTTATTAAAACAGGTACATTCAACCCACAGGCCACAGGTTGGGGGTGCCTGCTCATTACAGACTTCTTATAAGAATATGGGCCAGATGTGGTGGTGCATGCCTATGATCCCAGCATGCTGGGAGCCTGAGGCAAGAGGATCACAAGTTCAAGCCCCGCCTAGGTAACTTAGTGACTTAGTGAAAACCTGTCTCAATATAAAAGATGGACTGGGGATACAGTAGCTCAGTGAAAGGCCCTGGGTTCAATCTCCCGTACTACAAAAAACAAACATGGGCCTGGGCCATACCCCAATGACAGAGCACTTGTTGAACATATACGAGATCCTGGTTCTATCCCTAGCACAAAAAAAAAGGAGATGGCAAAATCCTACAGCTGTGAACATGAAAGGAGTGGACCATGAGGACCCACAGGCCTACAGGTCCATCCCAGCCCCCTCCACACCTATGTACTCCCCTGCTTGGGACCCCCATGAAGATAGCCTGTGGCCCAGAACAGACCAGGGGGTGCACTCGGGTTGTGTGTATCAGGTTTGCCCAGCAGAGCCCTAGACCTATGGTGGCTGCCAACACCAGGCAGGACAGCTCAGCCCCACAGCATCCGGTTGCTTTGTAGAGGGGTCCAAGCAGCTCACAGTGTCTGAGCATGGGGCCTGCTGCTAGTACCCCTGACCCCCTCTGGGAGGCTGGAGTCATGGTTCCTGTGGTGAGGTGGTGAGTAGCAGCAATTCTAGCAGTAACTTGGTGACCATCCAATATTACTGTTACTGTTCCCACTGCCTCATGAAGACGGGACAACCCTGGAGAGCAGAGTATGTCACTGTCCCATGGTGTCAGACTCAGGCCGTTTGCCTAGTCCTTCCAACTCCAGTGTCATCACTGGACAGAAGCTGTGGCCCTAAGACTGTTATAGTGTTTTGTCATTTCTCACCACCATGGCCCCTGAAGTGCTGTTGCTAATACAGGGCTGGCCTGGGCAGGACACAGAAAAGGAAACCAGCCAGTCCCCAAGTCCTTGTGTCCTTATTTCCCGGGTGGACGCATCAACATGTGGAGCACCATTCTCCAATGCAAGCCATGCTAAGACACTCTACAGAGCAGCTAGAATTGCTCAGGCCTTTCCAGGGAACCTGATGTGTCTGTTGTCCTTCCCAGGAAGTGAGAAGAGAAGGGAATAGCTGACTTCCCATAAAGTCTGCTTGGTGACCTACAGCCTGGGTCAGGCCCACTTAATGTGGTTGAGGCCTGCCCTCTATACACTTCGTGCAGTCCGTTGTCCAAAACAGCACAGAAAAAGAAGCATCAACTGAGAACATTTTTAATTAATTCATAAAATGAAAATGTGTGTGGTGGCACACACCTGCAATCCCAGTACTCTGGGAGGCTGAGGCAGGAGGATTTCAAGTTTGAGCCCAGCCTGAGCAACTTAGTAAGACCCTGTCTCAAAATTAAAAAGGGGTTGGGGAATAGGTCAGTGCAAAGGCCCTGGGTTCAGTCCCCAGGACCCCACACACATACAAAGAAAGAAAATGTAGGTGTTACTATAGAACATGCCCCAAATGCCATTGAAATGTGCAGGGATTCCTAGACTCAAGTCATCCCCTCCTTTACAGCCTTGTCTCAAGTCTAGAGAAGTAGGCCTGGTACAGACAGTATCACTGCCCGCTCCTAGATAAGAAGCATCATTCCATGTCAGCCTTCAGCTGAGAACCAGCTGAAGGGAATTCTCATTTTAAAACCCCTACATTGCAAGTTCACAGTTACGATATTGTAGATAAATACTGAAATGTCCTCCTCAGCATTGCCATCCAGGTCCCCACTGGTTATGTGCAGCCAGGGCCACACTCCGCTGGCCTGTGGAATTTTCAGACACTGCAAAGTCCAAGCATAAGATTTTTCTCAACAAACAGTTGCCTCCTCTTGGAGAAGGAACTTCTGGGAAAGCCCCACAGCAAATCACTTAGACACAGTGGTCAGAAGTAACCCCTGTGGTTGCTCCAAATGGACTTAGCTATGTAGGTAGGGAAAGTCGCCACCTTCCCACAGGGGCATTAGTGGAGTTATTGGCACAGAGGGGCTACCTCACTCCCACAGCCAAATTGGCAGGAATGGCCCTAAGTCAAAGCAGGGGCTTCCTTCCCACTCCACCTGGGGTCTTGGCGCCTTCATGGAGTATATGCAGCTCCATCCCTTGCAGTGACATGCAGAGTCTGTATGTGTGCACATTTTACGGGGTAAAGGTCTGTAGGTCTCTTCAGTTTTTCAAACACATCTGTGACCCAAAAACAATTGAGAGCCATGGGTAGGAAACCTCTCAGTGATACAAATACTTTTAAGAGTAACCACTTGATTTTTTTTTATTCCCTTCACACAACCAGGGAGGCCAGGCAAATAGTAACTAGCTGTTCATCCACATGGCTCTCCTGACAAAGTGAGCTCTTTGGGATCAAAAGAGATTAGTTCGTCTGATTAGAATTGGTAAAATTTATTTAAAACAGCTACAACAAAACACAAAAAGGACTTGGGACATTTATAGGCTAAACTAAGAGTTTAAAAAACAGAGAAGCCATATGTTTACAAAATCACAATGCTTTTTTTGTTTATTTGTTCCTTAGTTTTTTGGGCTTGCTGGGAAAGGAACACAGAGCCTTACACATGCCAGGCAGGCACCAGCCACTGAGCTGCAACCAGAGCTCCAGTAAATTTAAGTTAAAATAACTCATTAAAAAAAAAAAACAAACCTAGTGTCTCAAATTGGAAGCAGCAAACTTCCCACAAAGAAAACTTTGACTTAGGAGGCCCTCATTTTATGATATTTCCTTCTGTATTCTCTCTGGGAGCCCAGGTGGATGTTTTCATTTCACACATGCAGGGTGTGGTCACAGGGTCCCCTGTTGCTGCAGGAAATTGGCTCTCTGTGCCCCAGGACACCATGTTCTGGACACCTCGTAGGCCTAAACACTGGCCTCTCTGGTTCTAGTCTCTGTTTCCACTTAATAAATCCTGTTCATTCAACCTCTTCCATCAGTTCATTTGGGTCATCACAGATTCTAACTTGTAGCTTTAAAAGCAGTGGCCCTCTTCACCCACAGCACAGTGGCTGTCAGAGAAACAAGCCTTTCTTTTAAGCCCCTGATGAGCATTACAGACATAGCACTGCCGAGCTCTTCACAGCCCAGTGCCCTCTGATCAGCCCAGGAAGCAGGCTGCTTGCCCTGCCTAGGAGAAGAAAGGGTACTCAGGAAAGGGGTTTGATCCACTCCAAGCTGCACTCAGCAAAGGCGGTGAAGAGTACAGGAACAGCTCAAATTGGAAATGGCCTCCTTTCAACAACAGAGCAGGGAGCGGTCGCCTTCTCTTTCCCATTGTGACCCTGGATCAGGTGCCCTGTTCTCCCAGCAAGACCTGCAACTTTGCTCATCATGAAAGGACCACAGCTACCCTCTGGTTAGGGGCTCCCCAGAGAAGTCTCTGCATGCTACTCACCCCCCATCTTGTATTTAGGGATGGAACTGCCTCTGAGAAGAGCTGCAGGTGGTATCCAGGCTGGGTTCTGCCAGCGCCTGGAGGCTTTTCTGACAAAAGTGAAATTTGTTTCATATATTCAGGACATGAATATAATGCCTGCCTTGCCAGTAGAGCAGCTCAAAGTCTGGCTAAAGAAGTATTTCCGGGCTAGGATGTGGCTTAGTGGTAGAGCACCTGGCTAGCATACAGGAGATCCTGGGTTCATTCCTCAGCACTGAAAAAAAAAGAAAAAACAAATATTTCTGCAGGGTCCGAGATTTAGCTCAGCGGTTCCACCACCTGCCTTGCAAACGTAAGGTCCTGAGTTCCCAGTACCAAAAAAAAAATATTTCTACAAAAGGCTTGCTCTGAGACAGGACCCCCACTGGGCAGATTCTAGGCTATTCCAGCCCTGTGTATGACTGTATTTTGTATTTTGTTTTTGGAAGGGTTGTTTGAAACAGGATCTCATTAAGCTCCTAAGTTCCCCAGGCTCGGCTCGAACATGGGATCCTCCTCCCTCAGCCTTCCAGAGTACTGGGACTACAGAGCTGTGTCTGATTTTTAACCTTGACATGCATTTATCCTCTCAAATCCCTTCCTCTCAGTGACTATTTCTTGGTTCTATCTCCTCCTAGGTCAGCGCTTGTTTGGGGAGACCATCCTAGGGCTCACCCAAGGCTCTGTGTCCGACCTCCTTGCCCGCCCAAAGCCCTGGCATAAGCTCAGCCTGAAGGGACGGGAGCCTTTTGTCCGGATGCAAGTGTGGCTCAATGACCCCAACAATGTGGAGAAGCTGATGGACATGAAGCGGATGGAGAAGAAAGGTGAGTGTCTGCCCTCTACCCAGCAGTGGGCCTTCAAGCTCACAGACCAGCCATTTCCTTATGTCTTCCACTCAAGGCCAATGAGGACACTGATCCCTCACCAAGCCACTGTGAGGCAAAGGGTCTCGGACAGTCATCAGCTAATGTAGACCTGAGAGGCCTGGGAAGATTTCATCATTTTCTGGCCAGCGGCCTGAATAGAAAGATCTCTTAGCACTGCGGGCAGAGCAGGGTGGTGGCTCGTCACAGCATCTGTGGCACAGGTACACATGCAAGTATTGCTGGAGAGCTCATTAAGGAATACATTTAGCAGATGAGGAAATTCAGGTTCAGAGAAGTTAGGGGCCTCCCCTAAGGTCACCCAGCCTGAAAAGCAGCAAGCACATTGCTGCCAGAAGAGATCCCCCTTCCATTAGTTTCTGGCCTCTGGGAAGCCAGCCTTGCTAGGGGAGAAGCTGCAGAGGCACCTGAGTATGGTCTTGAATGTAGCTGGCATCCTTCCCGCACCCTGTCAGCCACAGCACAGTAAAAAGTCCAAAGGGGAAGCAGCTCTGAGGAGGACAGCTGTGTCTGCTAGGTCTCATGGTTTGTGGTTCCTGATACTGGTCTGCCCCCCAGGTCCCCCGGTCCCACTATCACTCACAGTGCTGAGAGCCCACTGGGCAGCTAAATCCAAATCCCTTAGGTATGGAGGCTCCCACCAGCCATGCCCACCCTCCCTGAGCAGCTCATGCAAAGCACCTATGCAGAGCGGCCATCAGAGGTGTAGCCCTGCCTGTCTCCACTCCAGGGTACCCAAGCTAGTGGGTCAGAACCCAGGTTATGGCCCCTCATTCACTAGGAGAGTCTCTAGCCGAACACACTGTTCTCACCCAAGCAGGGAAAGGGCCAGTGCCCCGCAGCTGGAGCCCCCAATGCCTGCTCCCTAGCCTGGCCCTTTTATAAGAGACTTGGCTCTCCCAGCTTCCTGCTTACCAGGCACTGTGCCCATACCTCACTTAATCCACATTGCTTTAGCCAGTGTAGATTCCCCTAGGCCTTAGAAACTGACCTGAAGCTGGCATGAGCAGAGCAGGCATTCCCTGCAGGGCCAGCTGGCACCAAACTGTGCTCTTACATATGCTGAGGGCCTGCCACACGGACCCCAGGCACCACTGCTGCCCACTCATGATAGGCCCCAGTGGTGGCTTCCACCCATCCAAGGCCCTCTGCCCAGCTCTGGCCTGTCGATGGGTGCGCTGAGGCCCTGACACAGGCTGCAGCCCCTTGGGCAGTTCCATGCAGCATCACAAGCTTCAGAGGCCTTGTGCCGTGTCACTCCCTAACTTTTCTACTTATTGTGGGAAGTTTCAAGAAGTAGGGAGAATGGTACCAAGAACTCAGTCTAGCCATTGCTGAGTTTCAAACAATATCACAGTCCCCCATGGAGGCAGTGTCTACCACAATGTATTTAGGGTAGCTCCTCTCAGTGCCAGGGAGTATCCAGTCCTCTCCAGAGCAGCCCCATCCCTTCTGACATCAGGGTTTCAGAGAGCCCTGATCTCGCCCCCGCCCCCCCCCCCCCGCAGTGTGTTTCTCACCACTGGAAAAGGACCCTTGTCCCCCCAGACAGATCTGCAAGGACTTTCCAGGCCTCTGTGCTTCCTTCCACGTGGACTCGGCGCCATCTTGTGTCACAAAGGAGTCACTGTCTCTGCAGGGCCAGGCCTCCCAACATCCCAGATCACCAGAGCACTGCCATCCTCCCTTCTAGCCAGTGTCCTCTGCTCAGTAGAGAAGCCTTTGCCAGGCCCTTCAGTCACACAGCAGGGGCTGGAGCCCAGTCCTTCCCTCAGCTCCTGGACAGACCCGCCGTGGGAAGGAGGGGCAGTCCAGACTGTAGACCATATTCATTTTCTCTGGGGGAGATTCACCTTCTTGACTGTTTCCTAGTCTCTAAATGGCAAGTGAGTTAAGGAACTCTGTACCCTAATTTCCTGCCCTTGAAAATGAGAATTAAAATGCTAACTTCTCCAGGTCGTAAGGATTAGAAAGAATGTACTCAGTCTAATAAGACCTCAGTAAATAAGTTATTAATTTGATTTCCTTCAAAATAAATCTTGCCCCCGGTCTAACCCAAATTTAAAATTCTGTGCCAGGGAATCAAGGCTCTGTGATTTATATGCTTCCTTCTCTTCCATAAAGCTTTGGTTTCTCCTATGAACTCTAAATATATTTTCTTCTCCTTATCTTTTTCTTTCCTATAAACCTCTCTCTCTACTCTACTCGGCCATCTGCCTTTCTGTTCCTGTCACAGGTGGCCTTGGAACTGGGCCCTTGAACCAACCTGTCTGTATTCGACAGCACATGTCTGTTCACAGTCACACGCACAGTGTCTCAGCTGTCTTGGCAGCCCAGGGTTGGCCCTCACAATCCAGTCTGCTCCCTGACATTGATTTGGGATCTGAGTGTATGTCCCCCAGCTCAGTGTGGCTCCCAGGGACATTGGCTGGGGCTGCTCCCATGCTAAGGCCCAGTAAAACCAGGATGGGGCCAGACAGGGTAGCAGCTCTGTCCCCGGCAGCCTTAGATCAGACCTCACTCCCCTCATTTACTCACTGCATGACCCCAGATGAAGCCTAGGGACAGTGGCCCAGAGCCTCCCAGAGTATGACTCAGGACTAGATGATCAGCGTCAGGTGCAGCTGCTGGCAGTGACACTAGTGGCTCTTTGTGCCTCCTGCCCCTTGAACTTAAGCACACTGTTCATATCTCCCATAAGGAATTTCAGACCATATTCCCAACTCAGTCCGTCAGGAATTTTGGTGAGCAGTGTTCCTCTGTGAAAGCAGCCCGTGGTTTTGGACTTGAAGCCTGGTAGGCAGCGACAATGCACCCTAGAACCTGAGTTCCAGCAGTCCCCATCCCCCAGTGCCTGCCTGTGTCCTCAGGCTGCAGCATTCCCCTGCCTCCCCATTCCCTTATTACATCTCTATCACCTCCTCCCTACCTCTGACTGCAGCGACCTTTCCTCTCCTGCAGTCCCTCCTTTGCCTCCAGGCAGGCCTCATGTCTCTCACACCCCAGGCCCCGCCCCAGCCTCTTCTCCCTGGGCAGCACCACACCGCCTGGAAGTGGTCCCAGCAGGCTCAACTTCATCATGTCCCCTTCCCACCTCCATCATCTGCCAGCCCCCTGCCCCTCTCTGCTTTTTCTCAAGATCGTGGCCAGGGATCACTTCCTCCACACCACCCCCTGCCTCTGCCTACCCAGAAGACCTGTCAGAACCATCCAGCCCTTGCTCCAGGAGTTCTACTCTACCACCCAAATCTTTTTTTTTTTTGTATATCCTTGTATTGGTACATTTTAGGTATACAATATAATGACATTCATCATTGGAGATATGCACCTTTACATACTTTCTTGGTACTTATTTTTTCCCCCTTCCCCTGCCCTCCCTTCATCCCCTCCATCCACTCTTCCCTATTTACAAAGACTTGTTTCCATTTTTTCATTTTCTCATATTAATTCCATTCCCTTCTTTCCTTTCCCCTACCCCTCCCACTTCCCCTTCCCCTTTGCCCCTTTTCTTCCTATTTCATATTATCTATTATACCTTTTAGTCCTTGTTTACACTTTCAGTTTCTCACACTAGAGAAACTATTCACTGTGTCCTATTTATTTCACTTAAGAGTATTGCCTCAGTGTGCATCCATTTAGCAATAAATGTCTCTAATTTCTCATTTTTGATGGCTGAGTAGTACTCCATTTTATTAATCACATTTTCTTGATCCAGTCTCCAGTTGATGGGCATTTGGGCTGTTTCCAAGTTTTGGCTATTACAAATTGTGCTGCTATGAACATGGGTGCACATATATCACTGTGGTATGATTCTTTTAATTCTTTGGGGAAGATACTCAGCAGGGGAATAGCTGGGTCAATGGGACTTCCAGTCCTAGTTCTTTGAGGTATCTCCACACTGATTTCCACAGTGGTTGCACCACTCTATACTCCTACCAGCAGTGGAGCAGGGTTCCTCTTTCCCCATAGCCCTGCCAGCATTTGTTATTGGTTGATTTCATGATAACAGCCATTCCTTCTGGAGTGGGGTGGAATCTCAGTGTTGTTTTCATTTGCATCTCTCGAATGACCAGTGATGTTGAACATTTTTTCATATGTTTATTTGCCATTTCTACTTCTCTGAGAAATGTCTGTTCATTTCAGATGCCCATTTTTGGATTGGATCTTTAAATTTGGGAGGTCTGATTTTTTTTAAGTTCTTTATAGATTCAAGATAGTAGACCTTTGTCTGAAGGACCGGTGGTTAAGAAGAGTTCTTTTTTTTTTTTTTTTTCCTTCGGTACCAGGGATCGAACTTGGGTCGTTGAGCTTGCGCAGCAGGCGGCAAAACCACTGAGCTAAATCCCCAGCCCAAAGCCTTCTTTTTTTTTCTTTTTTCTTTTTTTTGGTACCAGGGATCAAACTGCTAAATCCCTGGCCCACTACCACCCAAATCTTAAACTCAGGTACCCAGTTCCCTGACCATCCTGCCTTGGCATCTCTCTTCATTCCACCTTATCCAGGACAGCCCCAGGCCCTTGATGGCACCCAGACCTCAGCTGCCCCTGGCTCACATACTGTATCCCCCACCTGCCCTCTCTGCCTATATTTCCTTCCCTGGCACCCCATCTCCATAGCCACACTTTCATCCTCTCTGGACATGGTGCTCCTTTCTCCCACATCTTCACACTCCTCCCCTGTGCACTCTAGCCAGACCTATGCCCCAGCCATTCTTCACCCATCCTCCTTGACTCCTGGGTCTTGCTAGGCAATTTCCCACAGTTCCTGGGCTGTGTGCCACCTCCATTTGGTACCTCCAGCTTCTGTGGGGCCCCTGGTACTGCTCCCCAGTCCTGGCCAGCCCTCTCCACATCATACCCTAGGGCTCCTCTTCTCAGATTCCTTCTTCCCACCTTCCCACATCATAAAAGACAGGGGAGATGGCACCCCTGCCTCCATCCTCCTGCCCCACTCCCACTCAGGACCCATCCTTATATTCCTCCCAGGACCCAGCTTGTGCACTAGCATCACCAGCCCTTCCCCTGCCATCTCTCTCCCCTCAGTCTAGGGACAGTCTCTTCCCACACTTAGCTAGTCGTGGTGACACCCACCTGTAATTCTAGCACTCTAGCACTCCATTTTGGCCCTTCTCTTTCTCATCTGTGTCATGACTGTGGCTGCGCTTTCTGTTCTTCTGCCTCCCCAGTTCCTCTCTCTGGCATAGACCATTCTTCTGAGCTCCTAGGTCAAGATTTTTTCAGTTCTACCCATGTCCCACAGGGTAAAGGTCTGGCTCCACATCCCACACCTGCTCCCACCACTGCCATCCTCTCTGCACACATGAATATAGACATGCTCTTTCCCATCTGTCTTTTTACACACTCATGCCACAGTCCAAGTGAGCAGCCCCTGCCCTCTGCCTCATGCCAGGTCCGGGCTCTCCCTCAGGGTCCCTCCACAGTACTCTGCATTTGCCTCCCCATGGCACACTACTGTGCTTGTCCATCTGTAACCCCCCACTGAATGTCAAGCTCTGCAGGGGCAACACATACATGTGACATCAAGCAGAGCCTCAGTGTGTGTGCTACTGGGGACAGCAGGGTTCCAGTGCAGGTGCTTTTTGGTTTGGTTTGGTTTTAGGGGATTTTTTTTTTTTAGACAGGGCCTTGCTATATAGCCCAGGCTGTCCCTGAACTCTTGATCCTCCCCCTTCAACCTCCCAAATGCTGGAATTAAAGGCACACACCATGACAACTAAGGTCAAGTATTTTGAGATACTCTCTGCAAATGTAACTTTAAAGCCAGACGTGATGGCACACACCTATAATCCCAGAACTCTGAGAGGCTGAGGCAGGAGGATCACAAGTTTGAGCTCAGCCTGTGCAACTCAGTGATTTAGCAAGACCTTGTTTTAAAATAAAAAAGAAAAAGGGCTGGAGATGTAGCTCAGTGCAAAGGCCCTACATTAATCCCCAGTACTGCAAAACGAAGAACAAATGTAACTGCAGGCTGCCAACACACCACTGTGTTTGGGGGGACCCGGGCTTTGTGCTGCTTCCCAACTTAGCATTGACCTCACCCTGCCATCTCCCCTCCACAGCCTATATGAAGCGGAGACACAGCTCAGTCAGTGATAGCCAGCCCTGCGAGCCCCCACCTGTGGGCATTGACTACAGCCAGGGAGCCAGCCCGCAGCCACAACACCAGCTAAAGAAACCCCGCGTGGTGCTGGCCCCCGAGGAGAAGGAAGCCCTGAAACGAGCCTATCAGCAGAAGCCATACCCATCCCCCAAAACCATCGAGGAGCTCGCCACCCAGCTCAACTTGAAGACCAGCACCGTCATCAACTGGTTCCATAACTACAGGTGCGACCCTGCCACCACCTAGAGCTCCCTGCCCTAGGAGCAGGCTGGACCACACCAGGGACAGTGGCCACGCACAGTGCTTGGAAACAATGCTGTAGACTTGGCCTCAGCACTCGGGGCAACTGAGGGCCCTTGGGTGGCCAGTTAGTTGGGGTCCCTCTTTGGAGTTTCTAACTCCAGAGATGTAGGGCCGAATCTATTCCCACAGCATCAGGTAGTTAGCAACAGTCAACATTTGCCACACCAATCCAGTCCAAAAATCACCTCTTGGCTATACTTTCATTAGGGAGCTTGTAGACATCTGTGGCCCAACATTTGTTCTGTAGTAATCTTGTGAAGCGTTCTCAGGATCTTTTATAGTATTGTTTTTCTAAAGTAGTTTGATTACTTTGTAATTAAATCATTTAAGTGCCTTTCTTTTGGGAAAGTTCACGAGTTAACAAAAATTCATTGAGCATCTACTAGAAGTGTTTTAACCAACTTCACATCACTCACTCCTCACCACTCCTTGAGGGGTAAAGTGGCATCTTCATCCTGTAGGGGAAGACATAAAACAGAGAGCTTGAGCGCCTCACCTACATAGGGCAGGGCCCAGTGCCCTTCCAGTGCATCAGAGTAGGCTGGGAGGAAAGGTTTGGAAGAGAGCAAGGCAATCCACTGAAGGGTGCTGAATCATTAGTCTCAGCTGTAGCCAAACTCCCTACTATTGGCAACTCCCAGTAGTCCAGTAGCAGTTCCCAAATTAGTGCCAAATTAAAACTGGGGTAGGTGCTCCTGGTTAACCCACAGGTGGCACACTTTTGGCCACTGCAAGTAGAGACCCTCACAACTGCTCACCAATAATAAGTGTCACAGAAGACCACAGATAGTTAAGGGCCCAAGGAAGGATCCTGTGTCTCTGACCAGGCTCTTCCCATTTGCAAGTTCTGCTGGGAACTCCCCAAGTTCTGAAAAAATGAGGAAAGTTTTAAATGTTAGATAGGCACCAGACCACACCCTCACTACCCATAAAGGCTGAGCTAAGTGACAGCAGCTTAGTGTGAGGTTTAAGGGGACTTGGCACGGGCAAAGTGCTCCATCAAGGCAGCACTGGCCACCCAACACCCTCCTTCCAGGAGGCTGGCTCCTTCCAGGACAAAAAGAGCACAGGAGCTGGGCGCACCAGCTCATTTATCCCACATCAACAAGCAGAGGTAGGCTAGCAGTCAGGGTCAGAGTCCCTGTCCCTGGAAGGACACATCAAAGTAGAAAGTGAAATGAAGGAGAGTGAATAGAAATGGGGGCCAGGTTCTCCAGAGCGCCTACTGGCCAGGCACCAGGCAGTCCCTTCATCACTCTAGTGACAAAGATGCATTAGAACATGTGCTGCAAATTATGCACCTTCATGCAAGTAGTGTGACTCTCACTGTCACACAGAAGCATGTGGAGCTCTGAGGATCTGGACACGGTGCCAATTCCACAGACAATCTCCAGACCATTCCCCTGCCTACCAGGACCCCTTCTCATAGGTCCCCCACTACCTTCTGGCCAGGGCCCCTTCCCTTGCATTTCCCAGCTGCTGTCCCTTGTCTTGCTGCCCTCCTGACAGCCACAGTGATGCCCACTGCCTGGTGGCCAGACCATCATTATAGAGATGCCTCTTGTACATTTAGCACAAGCAAATTCAACTGTCCACCCCTGGCAAAAACACTGAGGGAAGGGGAGGGAGGAGAAATAGCAGTAGGACTTCCACACAAAGCAGGTGAGCCAAGGGTGAACCCTCCATCATAACCACAACAAAGCCGCTGCGCCAATTCAAATGGGAGAACAAGCCTTTGCTGTAGAGATTGGAAAGCGGTCAAGGACAAGGGATGAGACAAGCAGAATTGAACTAGAGACAAACTTGACAAGAAACAAAACAGTGCAAATGAGAAGCATACACTGGGTCATTTGGGTGTAGCTCAGTGGTAGAGTGTATGCTTAGCATACTCGGGGCCCTGAGTTTGATCCCCAGGACCCAAATAAATAATCTAGTTAATTTAAAAACTAACCAGAACCACTCCTGGAACCTCGTCCTGCTAGATGATAGAGAGTATTCCTCATGAACATGGAGACAAGTCTGGGCTAAAAAGGATGAGTCTTCTATCTGCTGAGCACATCTTATGTGCCAGACACTGGGCCACAAGTTTTATAGCTGTAGCAGCTCATTTAATCCCCCAGCCAGCACCCAAGCAGTGTGGGTCCTGTTTTACAGAAAAGGGTGGGTGGAAGCCTAGGCCTGATGCCCTGGGCCCAACAGTATCTCTTCCACCCCCACCAAGTGCTTGGAGCCGGCTCTCATTCAGAAAGCAGCTGGGGATAAGGACAATGACTTACTCTTGTCTACTTTGTGCCTGATATTACACATTTAATATTTTATTTAATCTTTATAACATTTCTGCAAGGAAGACACTGTCCTCCATGTTTTTCAAATAAGAAACTTCAAGCTCAAAAGGTCAAGTTAATTTGTCCAAGTTGCACAGCTAGTAGATAGTAAAGCCAGACTCCAGGCCCAGACTCACCTAGCTCCCAAATGCCCATCTGTTTGAGCCTGGCTAGGACTATAAGTGAGCCTCCACCTCCCAACAGGGTGAGACTGGGGGCTGTCCTCCACAGGTGTCCTCATTGCCAGGGGTTTGGAAGCCAGTCAAGAGCAGGGCCACCCTCCCAGCACATCACCAGGGAGTGGTCACAGGAGCTGCTATTTCCCAGGGTCTCCCCAAGGAGGGAGGAAAGTCTTGTTATCCCTGGGAACTTTGAATAGGATTCTCAGACCCCCATCTTTCTGAACCAAAGCTCAAAAATCTTCAGTACAAGATTCTAAGCTCACTCTGTGCAGGAAGCAAGTATCTTATGAAATAGATTAACAGCCACTACCAGAGTTCTGTGGACCTGGACCAAACCACAGCTCTCTTCTCCCTGGCTCCACACTGCCCACAGCCAGCATACAACCTGACTTACAGAAGCATTCCGTTTATTGATGACATGCCCCTCAGACAACATTCTCACGTACACCTAACCCAAAGGCTTTGTGCCAAGTGTGATGCTAACTTGCCCAAAGACGCTCTTCCGCCAGGGTACGTGTGCACATTATCAGAGGCTTTCTCAGCCCTTGGAAAGCAATACCTGGAGAGATGCTGATCTTAGTACTGTGAGCTGGAAATCCAGGGCCCTCTGAGGCAGCTTCCTTTCTAAAAAGGGAGAGTGTGCTCCCAGCTTGCAGTAGATAGCAGTGTCTCTGCAAAGTATCACAGCACATTTCCCACTGTTGGCTGGATGCAGCTTGATTAAAATCTGCTTGATATATTAAAACATATACTTGGTCTCCTTCCTGCTTGATCCAATGACACTTCTTCCCTGGTCTTAATTCAGAGGAAGGGATTAGTCAAAAATACACAATTTGGTGGAATCCTACTAGAAACCTCCCAGCCCTCTGTGGCTCAGAGTTGGAGGTGGAAGATGTCCACCTGAGGCACTGGCCCATAGTTGGTTCTCTTAGGGGAACCCCTGGTGAGGACCCAGTGATTAGCACACAGTTCTTTTTATTAATTCAGCCAGCATGTATGATACTGTATGCCAAGCACCAGGCCAAGCACACAGATTAAGAGTGAGCTTACCTTCCCAGTCCAGCTGGGGGTACAGTGGGGCAGTGATAGAGAAATGTGATATTCATTAAGTATGTGGTATAATCAAAATATGTGGTGAATTTTTTATAGCCATTAATGCCCTCGCCTCAGAAACATTTGCCCCATTATTCTTGCCACTTTCTTGTTGTTTTGGGTTTTTTGTTTTGTTTTGTTTTGTTTACCAGGTATCAAACTCAGGAACTTGCGCTTGCAAGGCAGGCACCAGAAGCACTGAGCTAAATCCCCAGCCCTTCTTGCCACTCTCTGAAGCAGTTCTGGAAGTCCTCTTTCATGAGAGTCTTTAGAAGGTGTAATCAAAAATATGTTAAATGCTGCTGTCCAGGGCCACCATGAGAAAGGCAGGCTCATAAAAGCATTATGGAATGTCTTCATCCACCTTCATTGACAAGATCTTGCACAGTACAACTTCTGGCTCTTCCCCAAAGTCAAAATGACCATGAAAGAAACAATCTATTTGCAAAGACCCAAGTTCAATCCCTGGTACCAAAAAAAAGAAACAATCTATTTACTTTTTACTTTGAATCAATTCAGGATGTTGAGGCAGCCTTGACAGCAAAACTAAAGACATAAAAGAGAACTTCCAGAACTGCTTCAGAAAGTGCCAAGGATGATGGGATAATGGGGGGGGGGGCGTTGGGGGAGGTCTTACAGGTGTCTTTTACTGTAATCATTCTTTTTCAAATTTACACATTCACCGTATTTTTTCAATACCACCTTGTACTTGGTGGAGAGGAAGGGGTGGCTAACATCCCAACACTAACCAGCGAGGCCAGTGGTCATGGGCACCGGGAACCAGGAGAGGCTGGCCGTACACTGGAGAGCCTTAACGCCTGTACCGCCTCTGTCGCCCACAGGTCTCGGATCCGCAGGGAACTGTTCATTGAGGAAATTCAGGCCGGAAGCCAGGGCCAGGCTGGCGCCAGCGACTCGCCATCAGCCCGGAGCGGCCGCCCTGCACCCAGCTCGGAGGGCGACAGCTGCGACGGAGTGGAGGCGGCTGAGGGCCCAGGCGCCACCGTCACCGCCACTGCCGACGCGGAGGAGCCGGGCGGCCCCACAGCCGCCACCAAGTCTCAGGGAGGGCCAGGCACAGCGGAGCGCGAAGAAAGGCCACCACCGCCATCGGGGACCCCGGGGACGCCCGTCCCAGACGACGCCGCCGCTGCCGAGGACGCGGGCCGGGCCGGGCCGCCACCGCCCCCGCCCCTCGAGGGCCCCGCCGAGCTCCCGGCGCCCGTGCCAAACCCCGCCACTGCTGCCGCCGCCGCCACCGGGGAGGACGCCGCTACCTCAGCTGCCGCCACCAGGGGTCCTGCCTCGCCGGGCACGAGTGCGGGCACGGGCACGAGCACAGGCACGAGCGCGGGAGGGACCGCACCCGCGGCTGCGCGCAGGCCCCGCTCGCTGCAGAGCCTCTTCGGCCTGCCTGAGGCGGCGAGCACCCGGGACCCGCACGACAACCCCGTGCGCAAGAAGAAGGCGGCCAATTTGAACAGCATCATCCACCGCCTGGAGAAGGCCGCCAGCCGCGAGGAGCCCATCGAATGGGAGTTCTGAGGGCACGGGCCGGGCCAGCACGAGCACCGGGTCGGGTGTGGTCGGGTCGGGCTGGGTCGGCCCCGTGGGCCGAGGCCGGAGCCCCTGCGTTGCGCACTTAGCCCTGCAGGCCACAGGGCAAAATCGCCATAGGCCAAGGTGCATATAGAAAACAAAGGAGCATTAAGCCCAATCTATGTCGTGTTTTCAAGGAAGAAAACGGAAAATGTGTAGTCCAGCTTTTTTGTACCCTGAAGTGTTTTTTTTTTTATTGCCCTAAGTGATTTCCACAGGTTCTGGAATAACTCTTACAGCTTTTGCCTTGTGCCCTCCTCTTTCGTGTGGGCTTTAAAAAAAAATCAAACCCACATATTAAAAGGGGGCTTTTTATCTGCCATCTAATGGCTTCAGAGCGATAATACACTATTATCTTCTTAAACCAGGAAAAAGGGGGGAGGGGGGATTTTTCAGAAAAAAACTAAAAAAGAAAGTTTTTGTAGCTGTTCAGTTGCCACTAAGAGATTGCACAGTCAAACCGACTCTAAACACACTAGTTTGGATTCCTAAATATTTTCAAGAAAAGAATCTTCTCGTTTGAAACTTTGAATTAAAGTAAAAACTCATTTACTCCACATATTTTTTAACAAAAAAAAAAAAGTCACATCAGGAAACTTATCTGATTTTTGTGGTAGCTGATGTAGTGTTTTCTTGTACGTGAATAGAATCCTGACATGTAGTGCACATTGATCCATAGCTTTAACTGACCCGGGGCTTTTGCTGCCCAGGGTTTGTTTAATACACTCCATTCTAGGCCAAATCAGGACAAAAAGAAAAGATCCGAATCTAGGTATTTTATAATCTGCTTTTTAACCTCTAACCGCAGAGCACGCTGATCAGACCTCATATCTCGGAGGTTTAGGAGACAAGTTAGAACTGTAGCATGTACCCGTTCATTTTGTTTAGTTTATGGTGTCTCCGTCTGTGTTCGTGCGTCCCCACATGTGCGAGCATTGGAAGACAGGAAAGAGTAGGCCGGCAAGGTCGCAGCAGGCAGTCCTGGGGCACAGCGGCCCCCGTCTCATCTTTCCTTGGCACAGAAGGCACCTCACCTCACACCACTCTTCCTGGGCGTCTGATGGACTGAGCCCCCTGGGGGAAGATGCTCCCTGGGCCTGGGCAGGCAGGGCTGTGCGCACATGCACTCCCTCTTCCCCCTTCCCACCACAAGCACTGATGACCCTGTTGAACTTGTGGGAAGCTTCCCTCCCTGCAGAAGAGAGGACATGGCAGTCTGGGCCCCTCTCCCACCCCTGTAGAGATGGCCCAAACTCACCAAAACGTTGACCGCTCTTCACTTCCAGACCAGACCATTGGCCCTTCATTTCACCTCTTGGGAAGTTATTTTATGCACAGTTTAGGGCAGTCCAAGTACAAATCAGAAGTCTAACTTGTCTCTGATTCCTCCTGTTGTCTATGTGTATATGCGTGAGAATAGAGGTGGATGAGAGTGTGCGTGCGTGTGTGTGTGCAATTTTATACGTCTGTGTATTTTCTTAAGTACCTGTGCACACATAGAGTGCATTACTGCCACCTTTTTCAATAAGCTGTTTTATCAGTTATGGCTTCTACAAGTTTGCTAATTTAGACTCCTTTATTGCCATATCTTTAAACTAACAATAGATGATTTCGGTATATATATATTTTTTTTTGCTTATTTATAGGTGCTGTATTTTATTATCTGATTGTTAGGAAGGGATGAAAGGGGCAAATATTCTTTAGAGGGATAGACTGCCGGCAGTATTGGGTATAATTTACAAGATGTAGTTGTCATACTGTATATTACTGATTGAAAACTTTTTGACCGTATTGTGTATCATTGAAACCTTTGTCTTAGGTCAACATCTTTGGATGACATTTTAATGGTGCATTCATTATTTCTTAAGTTTAATTAATATTACTTTTTTGATTTGGGAGGGTGGGAGGGAGTTCTAATTTTAAAGGTATGCTCCCGCTATTACACCTCAGTGTGCTTGTTATTACTTAACTTGTAGGACTTTGACTGTAAGATGTGAAACCACATTTCTTGCATGATGTTTTAGAAATTATGTATTTCATTTACAGTCTTTTAACCTGCAACTGCAGCACTTAGTTCAAGTTTTCACAAACTTAAGAGTCACTACACTAAAGACAATGCTTTTTCATGAATAAGAAGTTCTCAGAAGGCTCTAGGAGGCTGGGAGGCAGGCCCTTTGTTCCTCTTTGGACGGTTGCATCATTTCTGAACTTGACGTCTTGGTTCGTTAGGAAGAGAATCCACCACGGAGAAGCTTAAGGGGAAGCGGATTAATGTCCGGCTGGCTGCAGGTGCCCTAAGAAGAGCGAGTTCACGCCAGGACAGTGAGGGGCAGAGCCACTGATAGTACTGTGGTGTCATCTCCACAAAACCTCAAGGGAACTTTGTCATCATATGTGGTGACCCTCTAAATACCTAATTTTCATTAGAATGAGAAGTAGGGAGTTAACTGTTAGGCTAATGTTTTTGTTTCAAAGGCATGACTGTTACTTACCAAGGTGTTAAATCTGAGGAAATTGGGAAGTCTAGATTTGTCTGTCCTCGTGGCCAAATGGTAACAGTCTACCACAGCCACTTTGGCTCTTCCCAGCAATTGAGTCATTTTTTGTTTTGTGTTTCTTTACTTTTGAACTGGGTCATTGTTGATTTCCATCCTCATTCTGTCTTTTCTGCCAGACTTACATCTGGGTGCTCGATACAATCAATTGGTTAGATTCTGCTTGCGAACAGATCTGTTTTATATTTTTTTCTTTATTATTTATTTGTTTGTATTGAGATCCCAACCGTATGATCTTTTGTGTTAAGCTAACACTGTAGTACTTCTAAGATCTGCCACTAAATAACAAATCTGTGGAGGGGGAGCAGCCCCTTCCTCATCAGGCCCCTCAATTTAAGTCTAAGGGTTTGTCTTTCATCTTGATAAGCAATATTCAAGTGCCTTGAACAGCGCCCCCTCTTGAGTGGTGACCTTCCATTGGCTGGCCATCCAAATAGCAGCTCCACAGGCAGCCAACCTTCCTCCTCTTTAATCTCTGTCAGCTTAAAAAGCTGATTTGTACCTCTCCCCAGGGGAAATGGTTCCATATAAAACACTAACACTTAATTACAAGCTCCATTATACCATTTTAAATGGCTTCTTTTTTGTTAATTGGAGGCAGCATTCATAACTGGAGGTTTCTGCCATTACTTAGCTAAGTGGGGGCCCAGCATCAAATCAATGTTTGCATCTGGCCGCCTGACCCTTGCTTCCTGCCCAAATCCCCTTGTGATATCTGAGATGTGTGGGTTCTGTCCTAGACCCCGTCTCCTCACTTCCAGCCCAGCCTGGCTTCCGGGTAACCTCCTCTCTGAAACTTTTGGATCAATCAGGATATCTGATTTTGTTCTACCAGACTTATCTTCTTTAGGAAGGGTTGTACAGCCACTTAACTCGGTTATTCTAACCAGCCTACCTAAGGAACAGTGTGACATGAAGTGGCGTCTGGTCCCATCCTGGGGCAGGTGCCCTGGGATGCAGGCTTAGAAGAAATCTCCAAGAAATCCCAAGATCATGGCTCACAGGACTACTGCCAAGCATGCTGCTCTGGGAAAGCAATCAAGACAAAAGATGGCAGCTCTCAACCTCCCCAGGACAGCTCCTTGTGCCTCTGAAGCACAAACGCCTGCCTGCCTGGCTTCCTTCCTGTCGGTGTCTGTGTTTTCTCCCTGTGTAAAAACCTTTTTGATGTGGATGATTGGCTCTGGTTGGTGGTCCAGGCACATTGCTAATTTAGGAATTAGTGTTTTCCTGTGTTCTTCCCATGGCCAGAAGAGACCTTTCCTGACCCCCAGCACTCTGTAGATCCACATAGCTCATGCTCATGCCCCATGTGCCTCCTGGCCAGGGCCAAGGTTGTGGTGTTCCTCATGAACAAACCAAGCAAGGGGCAGGTTGTACGTGACCTGGAGGAAAAGCTCTGGACCATGTCATGGGCCTGCCCTCACATGGGAACTGAAATCACCAGCAAGCTCAGCCATGGGCAGGTGCCTTCCCTGCTACAGCTGGACTGGGTGCCTATGTTCCTCTGGAACTCCTGTCCTTTCATGCTGACGTGATCAATGAGCTCTGGACATTCTATGCAATGGCTTTTGTTCCTCTGCTTCCAGAAAAATAAATCTCCCTGGAAAATAGCAGAGGAGCCAGGGGAATCTACACATGTCCTTCTGGGATAAGCATAAAGTGAAATGGATTTGGTCACTGACTACAACTTGAGCTTTTGCCTTAAATGCATTATGACAGGCACCTACAGAAACAAGCATTTGCCTATAGTCATTCCAAGGCCAGCCTTCCCAAACCCAGCTGCATAGGAGAAAGATCAACACAGAGGCCAGGGGTGCATAGTGAGCGTGGTGGGCTCTTAACCTCAGTACTTTAGGCTGGAAATACTCTCACTGCTGGGATGGCCCTGTCCCTTCCTGGATTTCCCCCCTCATCTTCACACTCCTCATTTGTCCCCTTCTCTCTCACTAACCTGTGGTCTCCACTTGATGTCACCCCCTCAAGACCAAGTGGGCTGGGCAGTGAAAGAACTTGAAGCATGGCAGACCTGAGCATCTCAGCCTGATGGGCAGGATTTTTGCCTCTTTAGTGAGCACTGCATGGCTGGATGGCTGGGCACTGCAAGGCATATGGCTTCTCCTCTTGGCATTCACCTGTTTCTGAGGTTCCTGCAGCTGTTTTCTTTGCAGGCAGGGGTGATCTCAGGCCTCAGAAGACCTTGTCTTTGCTCTGCCTTTGTGTCCTGTGCATTCCTGTCCGGCTGTTGAGATCCATCTCAGCCATCCCCATTGCCCTGGGCTGCCCCAGACAGCCACATGATCATGCTTCCCCAGGAACTCCGTAGCTGTCCACATCTCATGTTTCTGGCGCTGGGGTCATGACTTTTGCCTGTGAGCTCTCTTTTGCAAACATCAGGTATCTTAAGGACAGGAGAGGACATAGGACTTTCTCCAGCCTGCCTGCCAGGTCTTCTTTTCTTCCCAAAAGAACTTTCTAGTTTCTGTTCAGTGTCAAAGACAACCACTCCCTAGGGCTGCTGGTTGGAGGTGGGTCCACCCACTGGTAGCCAGACTGTTGTGATGGGAAGTAGGACCATGCTGAGGATTTGTGTCCTCATGTGCCTGGGCACCTACCAAAAGAACCTCACATTTGGAAATCCCTGTGGTGCTCCTGCTGTGGTTTCACTGGGGCCTTGACGTTAAGGAAGTCCAGTGACCACCAGGACAAGGTTCCTGTCCTAGCTGGCTAGATGGGGGCCCAGAATTCTAACATCGCTTAGCTGCATCCCCAGTGGGCCTTGGGACAGTCTGGGCCAGCACATTTGCATGCTAATAGAATGGTCCAGTTTGACAATGTCATTTTCATTCCCATCGGTTTTGCCTTTTTTATAAATGAAAACTACCAGGAAAAAAGGGAAAACAGGTTTCCAAATAAAATTCCAAAAAGATCCAGCCTATAATTTCTTTGAGATGGGCTGAAAGATAAGGGCCAAGACTTGGGGGCTAAATCATGATGCAAGAAGAAGAGGGAGCAGCAAACCATCCTAAAATGAGGCATGGGCCCAAAAACCTTGGTGGCCTACATGCCTAATCAGGGAAATAAAAGGAAAAGCTATTTCCTCCCAACTCCCAGGACCTGCCCCCCTTTACCACGCTCCACCCACTGACCTTCCTCTGCTACCTCCCCTCCAAAGATCCCATGTCCACACCATCAGTGGCATCTCGAATTTTCATTTTTGGATGAAGTGACATTTAGCTTTAACAAGACATTTCCAAAGCGCCTGGTCTCCTCCAAAATGCTAACTTTAAAAGTTCGGCATTGTAGGCAAAGAATCTCGAAGAAAAGCTAGTAAGAGAAAGACATTAGGCTATGCATAAATGTGCACTTCCCCTCCCCTGTTATTTGACTTTTTAATTGTCTTCAGTTTAATGGATCATTTTCATTTCCTCATAATGTTAAGGAGTATATAGTCTATGTTACTGTAATTTTTGTAGTGTTTGGGCTTTAATTTCTACCACAAAATATGCTATATGCTATGTATCAAGCTTTCTGTGATCAGAAAGGAAAGGTGCCTTAAATCCCAATGTCACGGCTCTATCCCTATGGAAAATAATCAGAAGCACAGTGTATGGAAGCATTGGGACTTCCGTTAGCAAAACAATACACCACACAGCAAGACACATTGAGGTGGCAAGGGACTGTTTTTGTTTTATAATTCCTTTTCCTCCTCCCTTATTTCTTTTGTTGTCTTTTGTGGGAGTTTTTTGTTGTTGTAGTTTGCTTTAAACAGAAAGCACTTAAATAGATGACTACGTGTAAAAGTTTTGTGCAATAG